CTTAGACCCCCTTCCCACTCCCCCTCATTAAGTATAATATCATCGACATCTCCGACAAATTGTGGATACGTTGGCTGGCTGCTTCCTTTTTCATGCTGCTTATCACCTTCTTCAAGATCTTCCTCACCGATTGCCTCAAGGAACGCTCTTTTGTGCAACACTGGCTCCTCCTCTTCTACTACCGATTGGTTTGCTGTGTCTGTGACAAATATTGTGTCTAAGTTTATCGGCCCATAGTCTTCAAGCTTCCTTCTTATTTGTTGCTCTCAAATATTTAAGTTATAATGAACGTAGACTAGTTTATGAAGCTTCTTCGAAGCGAGTCGATTCCTCCTAGCAGTGTGCAACCAGTGGAATGTACTCTAGTTGTGCTCACAGCTAGTAGCAAAACATGTCTGGGAGAGCACCTTGATTGCTATCCTCTTTCGGTGAGGTGCATCAGTACCATATATCTCCCACCATTCAGCTGGATTAAAATGCAAAAAGCATTGTAAGGGCAAGAACAATTCATAAGATTAAATATATGGATGAACAAAATATTGGCGAGGGAATAAACTGGATCCATCTTAGTTCGAGAATTCCTGGCAAGTCTGATTCTGAAGGATCCTATAGCATCCCTATACATAGCAAGCTAAAACAAATATATTTCGTTTCAGTGCATTATTCTTCACAAATATAACAACTCAATGAAGTTCTTACCTAAACATTAAATAATACCTCTTGTATTGCTGCTACTTGGTTTCGATGGCTTCTCTCCAACCTTGCAATAATATATCTGACTCCTTCCATAATCTTGTAGGGATGTTCAAGTATCAAATAGAAAAATTTTGGGTTGAAGTAGTAACCTAGAAAATATATAGATAGAAAAATGTCATTTACAATTTCATAAAAAAAATGATTTAAAATGAAACGTTTTAATTATATAAATATATATTTACCAGCATAATGAATTGGACGCCTAATTTGGTGTTCCACCTCCTTTCTATAATCTCGATCACTTTGCTAGCAAAACTACACTTCTCCCCAATAGCTAATTTCGCCCTCTCGATACCTTCATAAAGGATGCCCATGGTAGCTTTCTTGTCAGCATCCACCATTCTTTACACCGTGACCAAAGGGGCAGTGGCCTCTACAACACTGGAACATCGAGACCAGAACCTCCTATTTGAGACTATGCAGTCCACTTTTATACTGGTACTGGACTTCGAGAGGTGGTCATTTAACCACTCCTCACAGGTAAACAATCTCTTTAATGCACCTTCAGATTCCCGAATGGAGTCCACAGCTAAATAATCGGTCGTAAAGCGGGTTATGGCAGGCCTGATTATCTTTTTTCTCTTAGAGTGTTCTATAAACAGAAATAAAATTTTATAGTGGTTGTATATAAATCTCGACACCAACCTTACTTCCTCTAGAGTCTCCTTCACATTTTGATCTCACCGATCTCCTCTAACATAAAATCGATGTTGTGTGCAACACACGGAGTCCATACTAGATATTTCCTCTTATCCATCAACTTGCTGCCCCGTAGAAACACATGCACGCGCATTGTCCGTAATAAACTAGACTACATGCTTATCTCTCACCTCCTTCACTATCTGATCATATAGTCGTACGTAGAAGTTTGCATCCTTCTTCGTCCCTGATATGTCTTTGCTAGACAAAAAAGTTGTACCTTTTGGGGAATATGCCAAAAGTTTAAAAACTCCTTTTTGCTAACTTTATTCAACCAACCATTACTCATGAGAGTAATGCATGTCCTTGGCCAACTCTGTTTATATTCTTCAATCCACATTGTAACTTCTTCCACCTCTTCATCTAATATTGGCCCACTGAGCTCATATGTCGTCGGGGGTTTTACCCCGGGCCCTGCTATTTGGATTGCGTTGACCATAGGTGTAAAATATGGGCTATTGGCTGCATCAAAGGGGATCCCTTTATCGTAGAACCATTTACCAACATATCTCCCCAACATGTTTCTTGTACCTTTAACCATGCATTTTAGGGTCATCTGTTGTGACTTAGGCTTTGAGAGAAATGAGTTTATACGCCCATGACCTGCAATATTGGCACTCCTAGGTAACCTAGAAACAATTTCTTCAACGTCTGATTCTTCTTGATACATATTGCCACTAACCCCTCCATACATATTTGAGCTGAGCCTGCCATACATGCTCGAGTTGGGCCATGCATGTCTGAGTTAGGCCCACCATGCATGTCTGAGCTAGGCCCACCATGCATGCCCATGTCATAACCACCAGGCATTCTAAACCCGCATTCCCTTTGGTATGTTTCACGTAAACTCATTATTGTGGCCATCTCCAAGTCATTATTATATTGCTCTTTTAGATCATTCCCGCTTGATGGCGTATATAAATTAGCTATCTCCTCATCCATCCTCTGCTTTGCAATTTTTTTTTCCTTTGATATAGCCTTGAGCAATGCTGCCATCTTCTTTCTTATATTATTAAGGACATTATTGCACGTAGAAACATCTCTCTTAACCCTTGCCAAGTGTTGCTTGAACCTATGTACCCCACTACTTATCACTCTTTGGCAGTAATTACAAATAAATTTGTCTTTTTTTGTTGGGATCAAGTCTAACCCCATGTTGCCATGCAAGGTCTTCTGCAGATCTTGCCATGGTTCAACTTTAAAGTGTAAAAGGTTAAAAATTAACCTGACAGTTAAACATGAAAAA